ATTAGATAATGCTACAGTATCGATGGTAATTTCCCAATTTTGAAAATTGTATGGTATTTATGGAAGAGGTTGTCTTTGTTTTTAGGAAATACACAGTGAATTATTTAAGGTCAAAGAGACATCTCATCTGCGTTTATCTCAATGGTTCAGAAAAAAATAGGTGTACAGAAAGAAAGAGAAAAGGTCAAAACAAATGTATCAAATTTTCATCATTTGGAGAATATGGGTGAAAGATACAGTAATTTTTGTGATATTCTTGCAACCTTTCTGATTGTCTAGTATTATATCCAAATAAAAGCTAAAAGAAAGAAAAAGCTAATATTCAAAGTAACAGTTTAAAAAAATCACCCTTTGACATCAAGAATCAACCATTGACAGAGAAGCAAAAAAAGACAATTAAAAGTTGGAAAAATAAATCTAAGAGAACAAAAAAGAATTGAATGAAATGGACAAAAGGAAAACATCCCATTCTTAATAAAAGTCAGAAAATGAGAGAAAGTGTCATCTAAAGTATGTTAAGTTTTCCTCTACCTTGAACCCAAAGTCAATTATATCCCTCTGAATGAGGGCTATCGTGCCAAGTATGTGGAATCCTCACAGCAAATACTAACCCCAAGGGTCTATCAACAGGGTACCCAAGAATCAGGATTATCACCCTATCCCACCCCACCCCTTCAGCAGAACTCTTCATCTAGAAAATCTTCCTCTTGACCTAATACCAAATGCTTCTTGGTAGAAGGCAGCCCCACCCCTGGTATCCACATACCAACTCCAGCCAGGCCAGGATTAAAGGATTTTGAATCACTCTTTGTAACAGGACAAAAGACCTTATTCAGTGGAGAAACTTGTAGGAACAATAATTCTCTTAGCATTCTCCTTGGTAATATAACCCATCATTCCTAAGCAATCTGCCTTGGTGGTGTTCTTGATACACAGACACTTGACTTAAAATATGCCCAGCCCTTCTCTGAGACCATGATCAGACAGACCCACCAAGTAGCCTAGAAATATGTTCAACTTCACCCTGGGTTGTCCCACCCAGTCCTGTAATATTAGCACAACCTGAGCCGCATGGGTTCCATAGCAATGCAGACCCCAGCTTGACTTACTCTGACAGCATCATATGACAACACCCAGAGGAGAATGATTGCCTTACCTCTCACCCTATAACAAAACTACCCATTCAGGGTGTATAAGAGAGCACCTGGGACAGAACAAGAGAAAACAGGAGTCAATAGCAGCCTGTGAAACAGACTAAAGCAGGCAAAGACATTTTCTAATACAATCAGTTATCACAAATCAAAATGAGGCCGGGCGTGGTGGCTCACACCTATAATCCCAGCACTTTGGGAGACTAAGGCTAGAGGACTGCTTTAGGCCAGGAATTCAAGACCAGCCTAGGCAACATAGCAATCTCATCTCTACAAAAAAATCAAAAATGATTAGCTGGGCAGGGTGGTACACAGCTGTAGTCTCAGCTACTTGGGAGGCTGAAGCAGGAACGCTTGAGCTCAGGAGTCTGAGGCTGTGGTGAGCCATGATCACTGCACTCCAACCTGGTTAACAAACAGAAACTTTGTCTCAAAAAGAAAAAAAAAAGCACACATCTCCTCCTGGGCACCATGGCAGATGCAGTGCCACAGACCATCATGAATAAGTGTGCACAGAAGGCAGTGGAGGTCCCTAGCACAGAGGAAAAGGAAGCAGTCTTTGGAAATGGTATCACTGCCCCTATCTGCTTTCCATTCTCTGGTTTTAGAGTGTAAAAGTGCTGAGGGAGTCTGTATGCGACAAAAGTATTTTCCTGCACAGGAAGGTGGATGAGGCTTCTGGGGGTGGGAATGGAGAGAATGTGTTGTGGCCCTGGAGAATACATCCTGACAGGCAGCCCTGGGCTCCAGTCCCGCAGTTCTCCAGCGACATCCAGAGCACCTATCACCTGTTCCCTCAAGGCAGCTCAGTGATGTGAGGATGACAGTGGTTTACCCCGCCACAGAGAAACACTTGAAGAAGTACCTGCGCCAGGACCTCTACCTGATCCCAGGGAAGGAAGATGACTACAAGACCTTTACCTTACCCTACCTGAAGTCGCAGAATGTCAGTATCCAGTGGGTATACAGCATTCGCCACAGAAGGCTGAAGTGGACCAGATGGCTTTTGAGAGCCCAAATCCCTCTGATGGCTTTATCCTCGTCACCAACCTCAAGTGAAACCAGCAGCACCTCGATGACATGAATCTGATCACCATCTGCCATCACCAGGGCATCAGGTCACTGTGGGAGCTACACTGCAGGGAACATCCTCCGCCAGGGGCAAGAAGCCATCCTGCATCACTACCCGGTGAAGGGCGACCACCTGCAGTGTACCGGCACTACCTGCTCTCCTGCAAAATACCTGCAAGTATACTTCGTGGCACCCAGTCCAGCACGGAGCAGGCTCACCTGTCGATGGAGGTAATTGAGAACCTGGAGTGTGATCCCAGGCACTACCAGAGCACACACTCACCTTCACCCTCAGGGCTGATGACCCCCTGCTCCAGCTCCTTTCGTTTTTTTTTAAGACAGCCTCTTAAGATATGACTCACATACTATGCGATTCACCCACTTAGAGTGTACAGTTCAGTGGGTTTTCGTATAGTCAGAGTTGTGTGGCCATCAGTGTAGTCAATTTTAGAACATTTTCATCCTGCTCTAGCTCTTAGAGGAGGCCCAGGAGAGCTGAGTCAACTTGGGAAGAAGAGCACAGGTGTGTGGGATTCTGGGGTGGTGGTGGGGGATCTGTATCTCCAAGTGAATTTTCTAAAAATGTATTTTGTACTGGCTTATTCCTAGTATGTGAATAAAGTACTAGGCTCCCAAAAGAAAAAAAGAAAAAGCCTAAAATAAGACCACTCTGGAAAAACTTTACATCTAGTTTATTCTTTTACACAAAAAAGGAAAATGGTCATTATCCAATCAGCGAAAAACAAGTATGATGATACAAATAAGGTACCACAGAAAACTCCAATAAGAAGTGGATCTTTGTTCCGTGTCTCTTGTGATTATTAAGAATAGCAGTGTTCTCTAGTCTCTGCAATGTAGAGGCAACTGCAGCATTGCTTGGGCCTTTGACAGGCAGAAAGGTGGCACCCCCCAGGGATTGTCACTTTCCTTCTCCTTCAACTTTGTATCCATCTCCTAAGGAACAAAGATGCAGTCATGGCCCTCCATCCCTCAGTTACCTTCGCTTTTTCCCAGGATTAGGTAACTCCTGTAGATGGGTTTGAATGGGCCGCTGGCACTGGGAGAAACTTGTGTTGGGCATCGTTCCCTTTCTGTGACCCAGTGGCCTCCCTGGTGCTACCTCCAATATCTAAATAGCTCTATTGAGATACCCCCACCCCCACCCCTGGACTGCTGAGCCTCCCAAATAACCCTTTCTGTTCAACTAAAAGCAGACTGGACTAGGAAGTGATAGGTTTCAACCCAAGTTGCATCATATAAGGTCAAATGACTATAACTAGCTATCTAACCTCACTGTCTCTCATCTCCTCTGTAAAACAGTAATTAGCATTAGCTCTACCATCTCAACAGAAAAGTATACAAAACAAAATGAAAAAAGTATGTAAACAAGCTTAAATCATAAAAAGCCCCTTCCAATTAAGAAAAAGATACATCTCCAGGCAGACAAAAGGGGTAGGTAAAAATGGCCAAACACACTAAAAGATGCTCATGAGCAGAACAAGGAATTGAAAATAACACAACCATTATCATCTATTTTTTTATCCAAGAGATTAGTAAAATTTGAAGGATTATATTAGCAAAGGTGGGAAAAGATGAACATTCTCACACAGATTGTTTCAGAAGGTAGGTTGCTATTGCCTTTTAGTGGGAGAATGTGGTAGTATCCAATAAAATATTAAATATATAAGCCTTCTGGCATGGCCAAGTCTCTTTCAGTACTCTCCTAGAGAAACAGCCTCACATATGCCAAAGATATTTGTATAAAGATGTCCGATGCAGCACTGTTTATCTTAATGTCCATTAATTGGGGGAAGATTAAATAGATTATGGAATGTCTATAACTATAAAACATTAAATTACCATTGAAAAGAATTAGGCAGATCTATTTATTGGTACTGACCTGAACCTGATGGAATATATTATGGAACTCGAACAGTACCTGACATATAGGAACTGCTCAGTAAGCATTAGTTGAATAAATGAATACATATACACCTTTCCACAGCACTTCACATATTCTCCTTATCTAATCCTTATGCTAGCCCTAAGATATGAGCCAGGCAGGTATTATTGTTCACAGGGTAAAGATGAGGAAATTAAAATTCAAGGCGGTTATGACCTGCCCAAGACCTGAAGCCTAAGGTATGGTGCCAAAACACAACCAGATCCATTGGTCAATACCCTCTGGTGGCTGACATCATTCTGCCCGCCACAGGCCAACTTGCAAGTAAACCCTCAGGGACGGGCCTTATGCTGCTGGAGGGTCACTCAGTAACTACTTGTTGACTTGGACTGAATGAATCTTCTTTTACCAGCAAAGCCCTCCATTAGGTGAGGCTTGGCTCTCTGGACCGCAGCTCGGGCCCATTGGGCATCTAACAACAGGTCTGAAAGGAGGTCATTCAACAACAGGTTGTCATGGAAACTCTAACCCCCTCCTTGCCCCTGGAACAAAATGGAGCGAGAAGGGAAAGAGGAACATTTGTTAAGTGCCTGCTATGAGCCAGGCACGATGAATAGGAAAAAATTCATCTGCATCTTCCTTTACAAAATCTCCAGGAGAAAAAGAAATTGTGCATTGTTAAGCAAAGGACAGAACAGGCCTGCATCGTTGCTTAATCTAGGTCAGTCATAACTGCAAAGGAAGTTTATTTCACGTGGAGGGTACTCCGTTTATCCCTCTTACAGCTGCACGTGTCAGGCAGCATGATTTGTGTCACCATGTGGCCCCGTCTTAGCTCAGCCGTGCAGTCATCCAGCCTCGGACTCATACTCTACCTGTTCACGTCTGGAATATACATCTCAGGCATACCAGGAAAAAAATGACTGGCTGATTTGTAAAACACAAACATTGTTTCTCATATAAGCCAGAGGACAGCCAATATATTCAGAAATTTCAGACACAGTGCTCTCTGTAGAATACGGCCTTCTTTCACTTTTATCTATCCTACTTCTGCATTATCAGAAAATGGTGAAAATGGTGCTGTGTTTGGGCATTGTTACCTTGGAACTTTCATCTTAATTACAGAAGCTCTTAGCAACCGTTGCTTAGTAACAAACACATTTGAAATAGATTTGTTGACTGATTATGAGATGCTCTGAAAAGACCTCACAGTGAAATTCACTGATGGAAAAGAATTGCAATGGCCTGGTAAAGTAAAAAAAAAAATTGTTAACTATAAAAATACTTGCAAACTTAAGGTATTACCAGATCCCAAAGACATTACTGAATTTCTGCAGAGGTTGCATAATGTTTTATGTGGCTTTATGGCAGATCTATTATTTTCAGAATCACTTCAGACACCGTTATCTAACTGAATGACTACCAAAGTTCTGGGAGATAGGCCTTAGAGTTTTAGTCAGTACAGTATTCTACACAGAAAAGCAATAGCCTCTGGATTTCCATGGGTCCACAAGATCCTTGCTGGTATAGTTTTGAATGCTTCTTACTACTCAACATTTCTGAAGTGCCTGAGGCTTCTGTTGAGTTTTAAGTCAGAAGGAAAAAGCAAGGGAAGTTTTGACTCAATCTTTCTGAGAATATTTCTTTAGCACCTCTTAATAAAAACTGTGATAAAAGTGAAAAAAGAGATGCATTTTAGTACTACATGCTACACACATCTTCCTCAAATCAAAAACCACACACATGCTCCTCACTGAGCTCAGGACCTCCTCCTGCTTTCTGGCAAGGTCTACCATCTGCTCACCATTTCCACCTCAGAAACTGGGATCTTCACCCATTCTCTCAGAAGAAGGGATCCTCTTTGGCAGAGTAATCCCCCCCACCCACCCACCTTGCCTTGTATCTTTCTGGAATGCTCTTCTCTGACCCAGCTTCTCTTCCAGTCTCTTCTCTTGCTTTTTTTTTTTTTTTTTTAACTTCTCAAAAGAGGAGACTCCATTCACTGGCTTTCCTTTCTCACTTCCCACTCAATCCTCAACCCACCGCAATCTAACTTTACCTCATGATTTCTGTGGATTCTAGAAAGACTTCAATGAAGAGTACAATTTCCCCAGTCTTCTGTATTCCATAAGCCCCGTCTTCCCAGGGAGCCCTTCAGATTTACCACAGCTCAAGCCTCCACCCCCATGGGAAGAAGAAACGAATCCACCTCCACGGAAGGAGACAAAACATTCACTAAACAGGTACCTATACAGAACATTCTATCTGGTTACCCAGACCAACTTGAGTTCTTCATCCTCTACTTCACTCATTTACCTTGGCAGTCTGTTCCCACTGACATCTGAACTTGAGGCTGCAGGCATGAATCTTTGTACTGGCCATCCTGTAGCCACCCAAACTCAATTTACTCAAGGATTCCTTCATAAAACAAATGATTAACAAGCACAAGTATTTATTACCATGTCAGGTGTTGCTTTTAGGCAGTGATGATACAATAATAACAAAAAGATACTAAACTCTCCTTTATCTTAGGAGTTCATTGAATATAGCACTACTTAAATATAAGATGAATTCTAGTATATATGCATAAGATGAATTCATATATACATATATAAAGAGAGAGAGAGAGCAGAGATTGATCTCATCAATAGTTCCTGGCTTATAACTCCCATATCCCTTGTTAATTCCTAAGTGACTAAAACAACAAGCATTTTTTTTTAGTCTGCAGTGGGGAATCTCACTCTGTCACCCAGGCCAGAGTACAGCTCACCATAGCCTCAACCTCCTTGGGCTCAGGAGACAGGTTCTCAAGTAGCTGGGACTACAGGTGCACACCACCACATCTGGCTAATTTTTTTTTATTTTTTTTGTAGATATGTTGTTAAAGTATTTGACCTTTAGTCCTTGGTTCCTAAAGCAGCTCCAGAAAAGCTTCAGAGTGATAAAGGTGAAAGAGTATGTGTTATAATGTTGGCCTCAGAAGCAGGCCTCAGAAAACAGAATCTCTCCCTCCGACCTCCTCCTGCCCTCTTTTCACCTGCTCCTTTCGGTCCCTAGGACAGGACATAGAAACTAAAAATATACTCTATTTATCTGGCCTACCTTGTCTATAGATCGTGAGACCTCCATTTCAGAAGGAGTCCTGCCCTACACCCAGGAGGCAGGAATTCTGCACAGAGAGGCCAAGAAGAATCTGGCTGGGTTTCCCCACTCAGTCTATTAGTATTAGATCATACCCTCTTATTGCGATCACATTTCCACATGGTTTCATGCTTCACTCATGCCTGTCCAGTGAACTCTCCACAAAAGACCTGCAGCAGAGAGAACTTCCAGACAGCTGAACATGTGGAAGATCCTGGAGGGTGGCCAGCCCAGGGAGGGGACAGAAGCTCCCACCCTACCCCCATACCTCTCCCTGTGCATCACTTCATCTGTATCCTTCTTTTTAATATCCTTTACAATAAACCACTGAATGTGTTTCCCTGAGTTCTGTTAGCTGCTCTTGCAAAGTGGCTGAACCCAAGGAGAGAAGGGGGTTGTGGTCGGTCAAATGCTCAGCTAGAACAATCTGGAGCTTGCGATTGGTATCGAAAGGGGGATGGGGGCTCTCCTGGGGGGCTGAGCTCTCAGCCTCTGGGATCTGATGCTATCTTCAGGTAGACAGTGTCAGAACAGAATTCGAGGACCCCCAGCTGGTGTCACTGCAAAAGTGATTGCTTGCTTAGTCCATGTGGGAAAACGCCCCTCACACATTTGGTCACAGAAGTCTTCTGTTGTTGATTGCTGTGGGGGTGAAACTGTTTTAGTTGATTGCTGTGGGATGAAATTGTTTTCAGTTTGTGTTTTTCCCCTCAGAATTTTCCCCTTAGGAAGTCTCTCTACTAAGTTATGTTTCTTTTTTAGCACATAATTATTGACTTCTAAACTCAATAAAGTCTCCCATTACAAAATCAGGGCAATAATCGTTTTTGAAATACTTAGGCTGAAATGTGTAATAACAAGGCCTAGGTTTTAAATTATTTACAAAAAAAATAAGTAAAATATTTACAGAAACATTTTTCTAGACTTCAATACCCTCATTTATTTGTAGCTCTCATCTCTTTTAAACTAGGAATTTATCTCAGATTATTGTAAGCTTTCACTTCTCATCAACTTTCCGACAAATTCTGCTCAGAACAGCTGCTACCATAAAATTTAATTTGCTACTTCCCAAAAAAGTCACTTTGGTGTAAAATAACTTTGCCTTCCTGCTAATATTTTACAACCAATTAAAGCTGAAATGATGGCTGAGAGTCTACCCCGTGAGGCTCCATCCACGGACCTAAACAACTACAGTATGTGGAAAAACTTGAAGTCACACATGCCAGAGAACATACAACATATCTCCAAACATTTGCACTGCCAAGAAAAGAAACTTGTGGGGATATTTGGCAAATATAAAAATGAGATGTGAAAACGTTAGAATAATTATCTATGTAAATCAATTTCCATGTTTTCCAAAGTTTAAAAGACAGAGTCCTTCTGTGCCCCTAATTAACCTTCGCAGTAATCATTCTCTGCACACCTTCTCTACTGAAGCCAACAGATTGGCAGACTACCTTATGCCATTTATTACTAGCCCACAAAATGAAAACTTTCTTCAAATGTTTTCCTAGGTGTTCGAATTGTACAAGAAAATTAATAGGAAGTGGAATTTCGCCAACTTCTTCGAGGCTGGCTGCAGAACAAGGTTCCGTTGTCAAAACTCATTCACACCAACGTGGTGTTCTATGTTCAGAAGAGGTGACAGGAATGTTTCCTCAGCCAAACCAAGGAAAATTAATGACCATCACTCAGAAATATATGGTCTGTTAGGGCAATCTCCTGACCCTGATCATTGCTGAAGGGCAGTGAAGGGAAGGATGGAATGAGGGAGGAAAAGGAAAGGAACTGGGGTCGTCTTTTGGGAAATGAGCAAGACTCAATCATTCTACAGGATTTTTCCAAGTTCCCTCTAAAACAACCTGGGCCAAAATTATATTCAGGAAATAAAAGATATATTTTTGCACATAAAACAACATACACCATGTAATTCACCCGGCTTAAGTCAAAAGTAGTGACTTTGTCGCTGATGATGACAGACATTCCTTTCCTCGGACCTTCATGTCCTAGCAACTTACAGGGACAGAATTCCCTCAAGGACCAAGGCTTCATGACAGTGATAACTCTTGGTTCATTTTTATGACAATACACATTCTTGTATACGTTCAAGAGGATAGCATTACACCAAGCATGAGACTGTCCCTCTAGTGCGCACACACACATGCGTGAACATACACACACACACACACACACACACACACACACACACACACACACAGAGCCCTTTTTTGGCCCATTAGTGATTTATTTTCACAGCAGCCAAAATGATCCTGTTAAAAACCTAAGTCACACATCGTGTAACTCCTCTGCTCAACAACCCGGCAGCTCCGCCCTCACTCAGGGTGACCCAACTCCACAATCCCTGTGATGGCAAACATGCCTTGCGAGGACCCTTCCACCCCCAACCCACTGACACGTATCTCTCTTCCCTGCTTGATTTTTCTCTAGAAAATGGATCACTTCCTAATATATTACTTATTGTTTTGTTGGGGTTTTTTCCTTTTCTTCTCACCAAGAAACTCCACAAAGGCAGGAATTTTCTTTTTTTCTTTTTTTTTTTTTGCGTTGGAGTCTCACTCTGTCGCCCAGACTGGAGTGCAGTGGCCGTTCCCGACCACCGCAGCCTGGCCTGCTGGGCTCCAGGGATCCTTCCGCCTCCGCCTTCCAAGTAGCTGGAACTACAGGCACACACTACCACGCCCAGCTAATTTTTTGATTTACTGTAGAGATGTGGTCTCGAATGCGCGGGCTCAGGCAATCCATTCACCTCGGCCTCCCAAAGCGCTGGGATTACAGGCTGAGCCACCGAGCCCAGCCTAAGGCAGGAATTTTCATCTGCTTTGTCTGCTGCTATATTCCTAGTGCTTAGTACAGTGCCTGGGTCATTGTAGATGCTCAATTGATATGATGTAAATGAATAAACTAATTCCATCACTGAATGAATGAAGGAATGACTGAATTCCTGCCTGAAATGGGACAGAGGAGGCCAACCTCCCTGGACCTGCTAGGAATGCTGGCAAAGTCAAGCCTGATTTTACTTCTCTCCCAGGCAGCTTCCAAGGAATCTGGGGTTTCAACGCATATAATCTACAGATTCTCTTTCAAGTTCACCTGCCCAGCCACATCTCTCCCCCAAAAGGGTCCTGGACTAATCTCATAGCTGGGACCCCAAGGACAGTGACTGTGGCGTAATATTTAAAATCCATCAGCCAGCTGGGCTCGGTGGCTCAGCCTGTAATCCCGCGCCTTTGGGAGGCTGCGGTAAGTGGATTGCCTGAGCCCGCGGGTTCGAGACCCGCCTGGGCAGCGAGACCTCATCTCTACAATAAATCAAAAAAAAATCAGCCGGGCGTGGTGTATGTGGTACGGGCATGCCTGTAATTCCGGCTACTCGGAAAGCTGAGGCGGAAGGATCACCGGACCCTAGCGGGTCGAGGCTGCGGTGGCCGGGAGCGGCCACTGCACTCTAGTCTGGGCGACAGAGTGAGACTTCAACTCAAAAAAATAAAATAAAATAAAATAAATAAAATAAAATCCATTAGTCCCAAGAATTCTACTGGCACCCAACCAGCTCCCCACCTCTGTTTTCCAATGTCACACAATGACCCTTGACCATTCCTCACATCACAGCTACAAGGACAAAAGTGTCCACCACTGACAAACATCCAACATAAATCCAGGGCAAAAGGCCAAAAGGAAACAGGAAGAAGACATAATTTCATCCAGACTCTTAACTAGCCTGTCCAGTTGTACATCAAATAACGTTACGCTTGGTTCCAGGCACAAACTCCACTCTGATCTCAAGAATCTCAGAACAGTAATTTAACTTCCTGTTTGGAGAGAGAAGAAAGACCAACAGGTCAAGCTCTAGTCCAGAAATCCAGTGACCGCATTATTTCCCTTATTTATTCTCCTAAAGTGAAAAGTGACCTTAAAAAAAATAACTCTGCATCAACTTCCCTGTTTGCAGCAACATGGATAATACAATAACTCAAAAGAAAACCAATACCATCGTATGTACTTAGAACCAAAGTCTTGGTCTCCTTAGTTTTGACCTCGCTTGCCAGCCTTTGTGGATTTTCTGTGCCCTAGAATCCCAGAACTCCTGTCTGCTAGACCCAAATTGCTTACCTCACACCATGGGCCTTCTAGCTCATAAATGTGCTGTAATAATGAAAATAGGTAATATTTACAGGTCAGGCACTTCATATGCACTATCTCA